GGAATGAGGGAAAAGAGGTCAGGATTAACAAATAAAATATGACTACTGTCATTATTTGCTGAAGTGCCAATAATTCTATCAGATATTGTGAAAAATTGAGTTTTTGTCAATCAACTACTTGATTAAATGTTTCAACTGTAAAGTTATTGTATATCAGCTGATTCCTCAAAGAGGCTGTCACAATTTTTTTTGCTGTATCTTACCATGTACAAGGCTGTTAGCAGGAGTCACTAGAGTGTCCCATAAGCACACGTTCCTGTGGAGACAAGATGACCAAATTAGCATTCATTTCAATGTTGTAATCAAAGGATGTGTTATTATTTTTGTTGGCCACAGTACAGTGGAGCTGATTGGAAAAGATTCAGCATTTAAATAGATGTTCATGGCACAGAATTCATCTAGAAAATGACTGGAGATGAAAACCTCCTCGCCAAAGTCTTGTACCTGTTGTCTGTTGAAAGACCTGCAGTTGCAATGAGGGTGGAGGAGCTCACAAAGACAAAGTCATAGGCTGTCTTGTTGTGGCACTGCAGCGTCTGGCAGAGAGGAACAAAGATGACGGTAGTAGTAATGATAGTAATAGAGAGGCAGGAGAAGAGTAAACTAAAGTGAGAATGACAGGAAGAAAATAAGAGGACACCAAGAATGGCCACACAGCCAAAATCCAACATGTTGGAAAAAGGACGGGTGGCACATTAATCAGTTCAGAGAGTTTCTCACCAGGTATGGTTTGGGTGCATTCCCACTTGTGTTGGTCTGCCATAGACTTAAACCTCCATCAGCATCTATGATACCAAACTACACAAATGTTCAGAGAGCAGATATGAGACTGCTGAAATTAAGTTATTTATTTTACATCAGCCAGACAAAATCATACGGTTGGGTGCTCGTCCTACGTTTGCACACCACTGAAACCACTTCCCTCAGGTGATTTTGGACTGTGCTCAAATTATCTTCCTAAACGCATCAACAGCCTCACAAGTCTAAGCACCACTTACATAACCAAAAATCAAACCTATGCATGCCTTATTCTTTTTAAGCAATCGTTCACTGCTTTGGCCAGAACAGGCAGATAAGAGTTCTGGCACAGGAAAGGCACCATCTGAGAAAAGTATTAGCTTGAGGCGAGTGCCGGAGTTCAGAGAGGCTGAATCACTCAGCTGAAGAACAATATGTGCTGATGCCAAACTACCAACTGTGGTTTGTGTCTGAATGGCAAAGCTGAGAGGAATTGTGAAAATGTTGCTGAATCTGACAGGCTGACATCACAATGCAGCCACATCGTGAAGCTAAGTTAGCTAAGCTATAGTTTGACATCTGCACGGTGGCAGTTAACTGTTCAACTTCAACGAGCACATGTGACTTTGTAACCTTGTTTCCTTGGTGGCTGAATCGTATCCTGGTGACCCTGGAGTTGCCTGGACTTCTGAAGCAGATGATCTGCTGGGAGTGACCCCACTCGAACATCCTCACGCTACCATCCTGAGCTCCTGTCAGGTCTGAAAAACAAGACAGACAAAAGAAAACATTAATTTTAAAAAAATGTGACATCAATTCAACTTGTTTTTCTTCACATCTCAGTGAGTGTTCTGGCCCCAACATAAGGCATTGGCATTTCTTTTTGTCCCAAAATTATCTGTTCAATTAATGAGGAAATCAGTTTATTTGACACACACACTTCAACAGCCGTTCTGGATAACAGCGTGATGTAAGAGGACTAACTCAGCCTTTCTAAACCAACAGCAGCACTGGGGCCAGAAGAAATAAAACTTTGCCACTTGCTAAATTATTTACATGAGATAAACCTTTTGGGTAATGTAATCATGCCCTGAAGGCTCTTTATAACATGAGAAACAGGATGTCT